CTTTAATGGCACGTTGCTGAGAAGTTAAAGCGAAGCCATTTCTTTAAAACTCTTGTTTTCTTGAAAGTCTGTGTTTGCAGGATTCGCTGAGCCATAAGCTAGCCGGCGTTTATCTACCTCAGGTACTCTAAGATGTGTGGACTTCAACTCCCAGAATTCCCCAGCCAGCTTGCTAGCTATGGAATTCTGGGAGTTGAAGTCCACACATCTTAAAGTACTGCAGCTGAGGTTGAGGAACACTGAGCTAGCCAACCAGCCTAACCTAGTACTGTATGCAATATGAATCCAGCCTTGTGATTAATTTATGAGTCAGTGCCCTGAGAACCCAGATATTTAGGTTAATTAAGTAACTAGACACAGCAAACATGTTCTGTAAGTCATTGTATCTATAACAGACTTTCCGCTTTTCAGTTGGGAGGTTTTACTTCATTGTCTAAATTGATAAGCAGTACCAGACATATATTCTTTGTTTTTGAAATATTATGTTATATATAGTTTTGCACTGGATGTCACCAAATCCCTGGAAAAAAAATTAAAATCCTTTCTCATTTCTTTAGACCAGGGTTCCTCAAAGTGGTCATTATTGACCCCCAAGGGTCAGTGGGACTATCCAAGATCATTATTATTATCCATAGTACTATTAGTTAAAGTAGCATGGGGGTTAATGAACAATCTAAAACTTCATGAAGGGGTCAATGAGCTGAAGAGTTTGGAGATCCCTGCTTTAGACAAACAAGGTTCTTGCTGTTTATCGTAAAAAGTCCATGTGGCAGGGAGACAGGTCTAAGAATATATTTAGTTACAGGGTAGACAAATATTGATTGGCTAGATGTACACTGTAGAATCAAGAGAACTTGTTTAAATGATTTGATACAAGTCCACTTGTTTAATGTTAACTAAGTGATTCTTGCTCAACTATATCTTCCTCATCTATCCTCCTACCTACTCATATCTGAGAATGATAACAAAATAAAGAAAAAAAAATTATAAATCAGGAAATCATATTCATAGAACACGCTTACTCATGGTTCTTCAACCAAGATTTTTTACACCAGCTGCTGGTGATAGGCTACTTCAGGCTACCAGCTGGTGGATTTCTCAACTTCAGTTCTCCCACCATGTAGCAAGAGAGATGGGAGGACAAAAGAGGTCCATTTCCGCTTCTGTCTTCCCTTTTACCACTGTGGATAGGGCAGAGAAGTGGGATAAATTACTCCTTCCGTGGGGGGGAGAGAAGGAGGGGAAGTGGCTCTTTTTGGTGCCTGTTCTCCAACCTTACAGAGTGATTTTTTGGGATTGGAGAACTGGTATGAAGGGAGCTGTTTGCCTCTCCCCCCACCCCACTTCTCCTGCCACCCGTGGCAAGAGAAGAGGGAGAGAGAAAAGATCTGTTCCCCTCACCTCTCCTGTCACTGCAGGTTGACAAAGGAAGTGGAAGAGAGATGACTTTTTCACACAGTAATTCTCCTCCTACCAAAAGATCTATGGTCCTTAAAATTAGTGGTCAGAGACCAGAGGGGAGGCATGCCCACAGCAGCTTCAGGTGACCACTAGAAACAGGGCAGGTCTCCACCCCTAACTTATTTCATTAGGATTTACCTCAGATTGACTTCTTGGCATTGCTTGCTCCAGCAAAATTTTTAGAAAGTACTGTAGTGTGCCTTAGAAGCAGAGCAAGAAAGCATGAGTACAAGCTGCATTTGCAGTGGGATGGAGATGAGCTGGAGGTGACCTCATCTGTTAGTGTGCTTCAAATCTGTTTCCTGAAGTACTGCTACTCTGCATTTAGTGAGTGATATAGTAGAGCCCTTAGCTTTATTCAAGCAACTATGAGAAGCATAATTCTGAGTAAGTGTTGGCAGAGTTAGTTGGATGCTGCTATTTTGAACAGTAAATGTATGAGATATTTTACAAAACGTGCAACCCTGACATGATGTCAGTAGCTTAAAAATCTGATGGATCCTCATCATTATACTGTAATTGATTCACCTCTTCCAGTGAAATGTGCTATAAAGCAAGGAGAGCTATAAATATTGTAAAAGTTAGTCTTTCTGAAAAATTACTGAGAAAACCATATTAGGTATGTCATGACAACAGTGTAAGAACATTTTATGTGGAAAGCAAAAAGAAGATAGAAGGAGAATAAATGGTTTGAGGATTTCCAAAGTGAGAGCAATTTTGGAACATACAAACTTCTGAATGTTTTTAGTAGAAAATAGTTTTTAAATTAAGTTCATGTTTCAGAAAGTGAAGCAGTTTCTGAAGTGAATCCTTATCTTTCAGCTTTGGATTCTCTGTTTCCAACTTACACTACTGATTTTTGTATAAGAAGCCAGCTATGCCTCTCTTACAACTGACATTTTTTTTGTATTTTACCTTTGTGAAAGAAGTCACTGTTAAAAAAGAAAAAAAGTATGTTTGAGCACTGGTGATTTGGTGACAATAGAAAACTTCAGTCTGTTACAGTATAGATACATGCTCCCAAGTGTGCAGAAAGTGTAATTTATATTCATTTGGGATTTTGTACCAAGTACTAGAAGGGTCATAAGCTCAGAAATGGAAAAAGTGAGGAAGGAAGAGAAAGGGCATCATGAAGTAGAAACATTTTACTAGCCCTGTTCAGTTGATAAGAGTTGCTTAGGGTTTGTGTATAATAAAGAATGGGAGTCATGAGTAGAATATGCTTCTAGATTTTAAGCTGCTGGCATGATGTCAAATGATAACATTCTTAAACAATGTAAATCAGCCCTTAGGAATCTGAGTTATGATTTAAAGCACAGTGTAAACTGTTTCCAACTCTGTTGGGGAAAAAAAAAAACTTACACTGTAAATCTCTAGCTGACCACTAAGAAAGTGTAAGGAATGGCATTCCATCAGGCCTTACCCCATTCAGATATTTAGTTTGCAAAAAAAAAATCAGACGTTGCTATGAGGACAAGATATAAAATCACCAAGACACTGTTGTTGCATTTAGGATTTGTAAAATACTGTTACCATGGCATGATGCTAGAGTCCTGGATTTCTTCAGAGAGGGGAAGAGGCTGGCTTGACCGCTGAGGTGGGGTAAGACAAGAGTTTCCACCAATGGCAAAAACAGCCCATCCACAAGTTCTATAGAACTCCAGTATTGCAATCAGAAATATTTTAATGCAATTTCAGATACACTGCAATTAATTCTGTAATAAATCAACTTAAATGCCAAACACTGACATAAAATCTTACACTGAGCTGATTCTGGAGTAGTATAAAGATGCCATGTGGAAGTGTTGTAAAAGGGCCGAAGAAAGTAGATTTAAAAAAGGAAAGGAATAGTTGGAATGAAATAGCAGGTAACATGGAAGGATTATACAAAAGGAGTGTGGCAGATGAAGACAATGAAGAGAAAAAGAAGAGCACTACACAAAGAAAGAGTAAAGCATGTATGGAAGGAAAAAAAGGTAAACCAAATGGTTGTACTACTGAAATAGTTAGAACTGAAATGGACAGCATTTTGTAGAATGAAGATAGGTGGGGAAACGAGTAACTGTGTTAGCTATTGCTCCAATAGCAATGTGTTGCTGCTCATTTAAGGCACTTACATTCTATTCCATACTATTTTCATTGCCCAAATCCTCAGAAACAGTTTCAAATGGACTCTTGGTTGTCCTTGGTGCTATCTCAAAATACAGAATACTACATGGGGCAACCAGTATTTGCTCCAGCTGGCCACAGAAAACTAGAGAAATGGCCCCAGTACTGCCTGCTTTGCTGGGCTTTTGAAACGTGTGAACTTAACAGAGGAGCTGCAAAGCTATTAAAGATCAATCAATCTACAGCTGCAGTATTCCTGTGCTGAATTCATTAAAACAGTGGAGAGATGATAGCCTTAATCTTCCTGGGCTTAATCTCTTCTAGGAGGTGGCAAAGTGCAGGACAGGCAAGGATTCTATCAATGAAAAACAACAGAGCTGTAGCGGTCTTTCATGGAAAAAATGGTTTCAATACTTGAAATAGGACAGTGCAGGAAGGAGGTTTATGGATATTTCAATAAATGTTTTTTCACTGTTGTCTTCACAAAAAATTTTTTTTTTACTCTTGGGTTTTTGAGTAAGCAATTGTTAAAGCAAAGGATTTACCTGTTTTTGAAATACAAAAGATCACACTGCACTGTGATTGATCACTTATAATAGTAGTGTCTAACTGCAGCTCTTTGAGATGTCCCTTGGAGGACTTGAAAGTGTTATGTCAATTTTATAATCGAGGCTGCAAATTATATCAGTAGGAGGAAATCTTTATTTCTTGAAGTACTTCAATAAATTGATATTCCCACAGGTGGCACAATTGCAGCATGTTTTAAACATAGTGATTAATATAACAGCTGGCTTAATTAATTGTGGAAGTGGTTCACAACAACTATTTTATTATAAAGAAGTTGCAAATAC